TTCCCGCATTATACTGAAATGAATGACATACATTTGGTTGGCGACGTTACGGCATAAATGTCCTCACATTATTCGTTGGCTTGAACTACCTCTCAAAAGACGATCCTCTATAGAGTGACGTACATCGCCCTCTAACGGACTGCGCGTTTGGAACAAAATCAGGACTATGGTGACGTTGCCCTGCTCCTGAGCTCCCTGTTTTCACACTCACTTCTCATTTACATCTTGCACACATGACGTCTTCATCCTTTTTAGATTCTTTCCCTTTGATACGTTTGAAGGCATGGGGAGTGGCCCAGGGTCCTCTTCTCCATCATCTATAACCAACTTGAATTTTGGCAACTTGTTTTTAAAACCAGTCATCACCATGTTTACTCCAAGTGGTTGTGGGAAAAGGTTCTCATTCACTGCTATCTTCTTCTTATCCTCAAACGTAATTCACCCTGATTCAATGACATCCTGTAACACATGTAGGGCTGGGCAAAATGTCTGAACCGAACCGAACCGAACCGAACCGAACCGAACCGAACCGAACCGAGCGGGTTTTTTAATATGAAATACCCGAACGGGTATCCGAATCGAGAACCGAATGGTTTGGTTCGGTTCTCGGTTCTCGACCAAGAACCGAAGAACCGAATAAGAACCGAACTTTTTTTTTTATATTGGATAAATTAATTTCTTTTATTTTTTCTAAACAAATTAATAATTTTTTTCTTATTAAATCTTATTAGTTGAACAATTTAGAGTTTATTTATATTTGTTAGTTGTGTTTTTTTCAATTTTTTCTTATATAGTTTCTTAATAGTTAGTATGGAAAGTCAACCAACTAATAATTACATTAAATAGTTGGTAAGTATTATCAATACTTTAAAATATTTTATATTTGTGACTTCTAATTTATATTTCACTTTTATGTAGATTTGAAGGTTTGAAACAAATGAATTATTGATATGAATATCGAAGTTTTATTAGTAATATTTACTTTTTGGTATTTGTATTTGACAACTTATTATTTATATGTTATTAAATTAGATTACGTTAATTTGTAAAAGTTAAGATTGAACTTGGTATTTGTATCTACTTTTTGTTATTAATATTGGTATCCACTTTAAGGTATATTTATGTAGTATTATTTTAAATGTTAAAAAATTTAATTATAGTACGGAACCGAACGGAACCGAATAGAACCGAACCGAACCGAACCGAACCGAAACCGAATGGTTCCAAAATTATATTTGGAACCGACGGGTCCATTTACTAAATACCCGAAAATTTTTGGAACCGAAAAAAACCGAACCGAACCGAACCGAACCGACCCGCGCCCACCCCTAAACACATGGCCAAAAACCAAGCAGTTGTTAGTCAAATGTGACCATGCATTATGCCACTTACAATATTTTTTACCCTTAATTTGTTCAGAGTTTGGCAACTTATGTTTATCGCTCAACTTTATCTACTTATCCTTATATAATCTATCAAATATAAGGTCAGCTTTGGTTACATTGAACGAGAACGTTCTAGCCTTTTTGTTTTCATCTTTTATAGGCTCATCCTTGCCCGACGCTCTAGGCTTAGCTATTATAGGACAAGTATACGCATCTCCTTTGATTAATTCGGCCAAACATACTTCGATTTGATCGTAATATTCGTTATTAATGGCATGAACATCAAAATTTGGGTCTCTATAATAAGTTCCCTTACTAGAATTTTTTATTTGCCCTTCTTCTCTTATTAATCATTCATACCTAATTACGTTTGCACTTAATTAGAAAAGAACTAGAAATTCCCTGTATTGGAATTTCTTTTTTAGATTGAAGTTTAGACAACGTTGAGCGATCTTGACAAATTCCTTTTCGAGCAAAGGTACAAAACACTTAGTTCTTGCTATTTTGAACCTTTGAAGGAAACCTTCTGCCCATTCATTTGGCATTTGACGTAGATTCGTCAAATCGGCCAAAGTAACTTCAGATTCAGTCTTGTAAAACTGAGCATGGAACACTTGTTCCAATTGTTGTCATGTTTGAATAGAGTTTGCTGACAAGTTAATGAACCATGAGAAGGCTACTCCTGTTAATGAACTAGGGAACAACTTTATTTTATGGTAGTCGGTTTACTTCACCGCTCTGCAGTGTGAATCGCCCTATGTGTTCTAGAGTGGACACTTCCCCTAAACCAGTGAATAATGAAAATTTTGGCATTTGTACCTTCTAGGCCATGGATATGTTTGATCTATCCAATCAGGATATGGCTTCGTGTAAGTAGGCCTAATGACAGGACGTACCCCAAGAGCTATTTGATCATGTACTATATCCATGATTTGATTCCTTAACATGGCATTGGGATCATATGGAATTCCTACAGGTTGGTTTAATGATTGATTCGCTTGAGGCCTAATATATGGTCCTTGGTTGGCAACAAAATTGCCATTGTTTGGGCCGTTATTACTATTAAACTGAGTGTTCAAACCATCATTAATGAGCGGGGCATTCTGTCCATCATTCAGGACATTATCTCTTATAATTGAATTACCTCCGAGGTTAGTAATCCCATTACCACCATTCAAGTTTGGCGTTCCATTACCCCCCTGGTTTGAAGTGACGGATCAAAGGGTGGTTCTAGTCCTTGATTTAAGTTCAAACCAGAAGAATTATGTGGTGAATTATGTCCCACATTTGTCCTGATTTGAAAGTGGTTTGCAATAGGCGTAACTAGCTGACACATTTGGCCTACTAACTTGTTCATTATCTCATTTAATGTATTCAGTTGTTTGACCATATTATCATAATGTGCATCCCCACTTTGGGTACATCTTTCCATATTATGAACATTTCGTAGATTTACCTGTTCAACGACATCTTGTGTGAGTTCTCCGAGCAATGCACGCATGGTTCGAGAACTCAATTCTATCATTGGTTCGTAACAACTATGACTACTTTGACTATGTCCCTATGTTCGTGGAGAGTTTTGCTACTCCTCATATCGGTCTATTACAGACTGACTACTCCCTGACTTGCTGGTTCCTTATCAGAATGTTTATGAGCTATAATGCTTTACTTTTTGTATCTTCAACACTAAACACCAATGTCCCACTGGCGTACCAAATATTTTCGCGCGGGTAGTCACTAATAATTAAAAAAGAATTCAGACAATTGTGTAAGGGACAAACCTCTTAAGACAGTCCCAAAAATGGGTGTTTTATTGATGAGAGTTACAATTGAAAATAAACAGAATGCCTCCAAGAGGCGCAAGTACACGAGTACTGAAAATAGATAATTAAAGTTAATATAAGAAATTGAAAGTACTTATTATCTGTTTGAGAGTGTTTGATTCAGGGTCTTTTTTCTATGTCTTTTCTTCCTTTTTATATTCCCACGATGATTTTTTCTTGACAAACCGCTTAGAAACTGGTTGATTGCTTTATAATTATCCATTTTCTTCATGGTGGCTAACTTATCGTGGAACTGCCATCTCTAACTGTTGTCATTATTCTTTGTTGTTCAATCACCTTCTAATTGGCTCCTTAAATCGTGGAATGTGATAATCCCCTCGATAATTGCTTCAATAACAGCTATTCTGGATAACCATAATATCTCACGCGTTAAGATTTTGGGCAACTTGAAGATTTTGGCGAGAACGAGGTCATCGCTCTAAGCGACCGTAAGGCACTCCATTCGCTCAGATTCTGGTCGTCTTGCAGGATTGAGCGATAATGTTACTGTGTTCATGGGCTTCCTCTGCATTCACCAATAATTTTATTTGAGCATTTATCCTGGACTTTCCAATTGGACCTTACTCTTTGGGCTGCACTTTTAGTGTATCAACAGTTGCCAACTTCTGAATCGTCCTTTGCCAGCTTCTGAATTATTTTCGACGGCCTATGAACCATAGTTATCTAGTAAAAACATTGCAAACATGAAGTAATATCAATTCCAAAGTCTTGTTCAACCATATGGCCTCCACGTAAGAAAGCTGAGAAAAATATATTAGGAAAATACAGTGGAGTGAAGTATCATTTTGAATATCTTTTTAAAGAAATGAAAAGTAAGTTGATCTCATCAAAAAGCGGACTCAATCTTAACCACTGAAAAATAGAATGACCCCAATTCTCGAATATGAAAAGACATATTCAAGCAAATGATACAGAGCAAACGTACATATCACACGTATTAAAGTACACACTTGTTTAAGTTACATTAAAAAAAGACAATTATTAAGGAGTCGTTTCATCTAATCATGCATTAATTATCATTAATGCACAAAGTAAACATTGGAAATTATGACACCTATTCATCCGAAAGATTGCCACAACATAAATAGTTAAGCTCGAACTTGTGAGGACTAATATGGATTAAATTATCCAAACTCGCCATTTTTTCGACATACTAAAGTAGAGAATAAAATTACATAAAAAAAAAGTCCTAGATTTAAAAATCAATAATTAAATTCGATCTTCAGGAACTATTTGTTAACAATAAATAAATACAAAAAATAACAAGCAACCTCATGACCCTTTGTGGGAACCTCATTAAGAATTTAAAAATACACGAGCCCTTGAAAATAAAGGAGAGCATTCATACATGAAATCACAATCAAACAAGGCAAACTGTTTCCGTGATATTCCACGTCAACAGAATTCGTTATCAAGGACACATGAACAAATGTTTAAAGTATGATTTCAAAATCAATGAATGAATGACACGTAAGCTGGTGAATAAAATATGAACATGCGCGGAATCAATTAGAAATCAACCATTGAATAATCGTCACTTGTCATTAACCAAAAAGACCTAATTGCCCCAAGGTCCAAAGAGAAATCTATAAAAAGTCCCACCCAAAAGAAAAAAAGGATGCAAAATTTGAATATCTCCCACCCAAATAACCATTTTTCCTCTTGCTTCTTATTGAACATCAAGTGAAATGAGATTAGAAAGAGAAAATCGTGAAAATCGTGATTATATGAGAAGAATTTGTTGACTGTTATTTGAAGGTCAACATTCTTGTTACTTTAAAAACTGAAACCAAATAGCTAAGATCTCCAGGAGCTTAGTCAATGTTCTTTTGGAGTCGTAATTCCGGAGATCATGTTTTGGCTTCCTTTGCCACGAATGTAAAAAAGTATAAATGGAATTTAGGACTTCAAATTTCAAATTTCCTGATTTTATTATAAAGCCTACACAAAATTTGCTTTCGTGGATTCCAATGTTTCAGGTCATCAAAAGGGAGAATGATACTCATCTAAAGTGGTGGCAGGTGCAATTGCAAGTATACGATTTCAATTAAACGAGTAGTAAAATAGATTAAAGAGTTCAAATTATCGTTTTCACAAAGAATCTAACTTTTAGTGATTCCTGTTTGTAGAAAATAAACGTTGACGGCAAGGTTTCAATTAAAATTAACATAACTAAGAAAATAAAATAAATTATTTGAACATGTTTTCTTTAGATTGAGGATAAACTATTCAATAAGATAGTTAAAGTGTTGTGATTCGTGATTTCGCCTTTGTTATCCTCTTTAATCTCCTCTCTCAAGTTCAATTCCTAAATTTGTACTACCTTTCCAAGTTTAAATCAATCTTATATAGCTTAGTCAATATCTTTATGTAAATTCGAATAATCTCAACTAAAAGCATTAAATCATCTAGGAATTCAACTAAAGACTACAATAATAAAAATAATGTGTGTGTATATATATATACACCTTTTTATTTAATTGTCGAATTTTACCATGGACTAAATTTATAACTCACCTATCGGTTTGATACCAATTCACAAATCAATGAAATATTGGTTAATTATTTCAAAGAATGAAGAATAGAACTATAAAAGTAAAATCAATACATGAAACAAATAAATACGAAAATCTTAAGAATTAACATTAGAGTAATGATATGTAGCTCCACTGGGGTTACAATTAGACTAAATAAAATGTGAAATAAATAGCTTATTTAATCCTACTTACCATTTAATGTCACATTAACGTCACTTAGATTGAGGTTTTAGTCCCATTGTTGATACCAACTGTTGATTCAGTTACACATCATAATGGAAGAAAAACACGTTCGATATGAAGAAAATGAAGAGAAAGATGATCAAGAATCCTTTATTCCATGCAGGGCCGGCCCTG